GGGTGAGACTCAGAGTTAGAGAACTTAATTGATAATGGTGCACATACAAAAACTAATGAATCGCAGTAGAAGTTGTCAAGTGAGTGGAAATATCAGCAATATCAAATATCTGAGGAAAATAATATCAAGGCTTTCAAATTGGTTAAAATAATGTGGATACAACAGGTATTTTAAAAATCCTTTAACGCCCCCAGTCAAATATGAATGACATTAAGAAAAAAAAAGATTAATAATGATTAGAAGAAAACTAAAAATAAAAGCATTGTTATACTAAATCTGATGCGAGCAAAGTGATTTTTGCTAATCATCAGTATTTATCTTGACAAACACTTGCATTTGATACTTTATGAGCATTTGGAAATAAGCAGCATATTTATACATGAAGCCATTTAAAATAATTAAGATGAATAAATGATTTAAAAAATAGTTATATGAGAAATGACATTGTTTCTAATGTGTGAAATTGTGCTTGATCTTGTTCAGCTTCAGCTGATTGGAAATTCAAACCCAGCCCCTATCAGCTGATCCGATTCCTATGCACTGAATTGGCAAATCTCAAACGAGGAGCCTTTCCTAAATGCAGCTTCAATCTGCTTGCTTTGCTGCTTCCAATGCATATTGCTTTGCAGTGAGATATGCCATTACTCACCCTATTGATGACCATGTCTTCCGCCGCTAGTGAAGAAGATCCCTGGCAAATTGAATCCCTCGAAGAATTACAGCAACATCCAAGCCAAGCAGAGGAAGCCATTCAAGATGAAAGCAAAGTTTCCATCCATTGGTTCCTCCCAGCATTTGCAACTTGCCACGCCCTAAGATAGTAGAAACCTTGTTCAGGTACCATATCTGGAGCTACTCATGAGGAACTGTTTACATCGCTCTGTGAAAACATTGATGTCCCAGCAGCAGACTTTCCCACTCCACCTCCTTTCTCCAGCAAGAAGCATGTGCAGAAGAGGAAGAACATTGATCCAGCCTCCACTCCGGCCACTGTGGCACCCAAACAAGCAGGTGGTCCTGCCGGCTCAGCCTGAGCAGGCAACTCTACAGTCCAAAGTAACAATCCTGTGTTGTCTGCATTGTCCTCCATCCAGTCTTCACTCTCCAACATGAAGACCTACTGTGGGATTCCCCCAGAGCGTTATACGGCTCATTCTCTGCGCACAGGGGCAGCTACAACTGCAGCTTCCTCTATTCCTGTCTCAACACTGAAGGCCATAGGGTGATGGTTTTCAGCTGCCTTTGAATGCTACCCAATGCTCACTCCATCCTTGAAACTCAAAAATCTGAGTGCAGCTCCCTGATCTGTGGCTTGAAATACAAAATGTATGGCTTCAGTAACTGAATGACATATTTACTTATTTAAATATTTATTACGTCTAGCTTCATTTCTTATGTTGACTTCACATAGATTGATTTGCTCTTTTCAATGCAGTAGATTGGCTTCCTGAAATGCTCATTTGGTTCCTCTGCTGGCTCTTCTTTTAGCAGGGAGAGCCAGGGAGGATTGCCTGGTATGGTCTGTTTGGGGGATTTTGTGCTGCTCGCCTATACTTAAAATGGGAGTGTTGCCCCTCAAGCTGCTGCAGTTTCCCAGTCTTAGCTTTCATGGAGCTCATGAAAAGGACAGGGAATTTAGAACAGAGCCATTCCAGCAAATGTGACTTTAGCAAACATGCTAGTAAAAGCTGAGTTAAAGGTTAGTCTATAGTTTTTCTTTTTTGACTTAAGAAGTCCTGACTGAAATAATAATTAAGCACATCAAGTTGGCTGACATTTTGCAGCACTGAAGCATCCACAATGGCCCTAACTTTGTATGGAGATGTATGCAGACCAGAGGCATCAGTGACATGACTCAGGTACTCAACTGAAGGTGTAAAACATTTGCATTTGTCCTTGCAAATGGGAGTCTTCATTAGTGCCAGTCACTAGAATGTCGTCTAAGTAACACAACACAGAAAACATGAGACATTGTTGTCAGCTTGTTTTTCAGTGTCTGTCTTACTTCACGTGTTTCCGGCTGAACCAACGTAAATGTCTTTGCACCCATCACACTTAAAAAGGTGGGTACAACTTTCTCTTGATCAATAGCGTTAGCTGCTACAAAATACTCAATACAATTAAAAAAAAACTGCTGCCATGTTGTGCGGTTAGTTTGTAGTTTAAAAATCGATAAAATCTCTTATCAGAATCAGTCTTCCCTCCTCTCTTTAGCAAAGATGTGGACTAGTTGCTATCTCCCGATTATCTTCTTGCTTCTCCAGCAATTTCACAGACAAGCCGCTTCATTTTCCAAGTCCGCACAGCACAGAATACAGAAATCGCAGAATACAAAAATCCTCTTTATTGTATCTTGTAGGCAGTGGTGGAAAGAGTACTAAAAAAAATTTATACTTAAGTAAAAGTATTGCTACTTGAGAAATAATTTAGTTGAGTACAAGTAAGCTACTGAAAAATATAACTTTAGTAAGATTAAAAAAGTAGTTTGCTGAAAAACTACTCAAGTTACTGCATTACAAAATACTTTAGTTTTATGTTTCTATTTTTGCCCAAAATGAAGCGACGTGAGCATAATGGAGTATATAAAACACTCTCATAATGTCTGTTTCACAAGTGAGACTCATAGAAGTATTAAACTTATGACGTTCCAGGAAAGCCCTTATATGGACAAATGCATCAGATATCACTACAGCTGAGTAACATGCAGATAGAGACGTTCTGACTGATGAAACATGAAGACAATAAACACATGATTGTGATGATATATCTGTGTTCTTTAAGCCATTTCGGGTATTTTCATAAGAATGATGTATATTCATAATTCAACGCTAATCGACAGCCTGAATCACAGTATAAAATTTTAGTTAAACATTTAAAAATAAAATATTTTCCATCTCATTCTAAGATAAGAAGCAACATGGAACCACAGAGGCAAGTCATTTCAAACACGACTGATGTTATATAGTGAATTTGAAGCAAAAACATATTAATTTAATAAAATGTGCCTGAAGTCCACCATTGCTATTGTGACAAACTACACTTTTACGTGCATCTGATTGACTGTGTGCATGCATTTTAGACACTTATATTGTTCTTGCGCCGTCTCCACGCAATAACTGCATCCTTCCATCCTGAAAACCAAGTTTTCAATTTACTTAAACTGCAGAGTGAAAGCGTGCACTAGTTTATTGTATTAAGCAAAAAAATAAATGCTTCACCCGCAAACTATTAACACACACAAACATACAGCAAAAGCAGTTTATCCATCCAAAAGAATCAAACCACATTTCTGTGCAGATTAAACAAAGAGGAAAACCATTGCAGGGTCATTTTGACTCAAAAACCAGTGAATCACGTTTATAATGTTTGCCTGTTTTGTTATAGTAAAATTCATGAGTAAAAGTTAATGAAAACATACATACCTAACCCTGAATGCAAATATTAATTTAGAAAAAAATTATTACCTGAGAGATTAAAATCCTACACTATACATTTACCTTGGCGTTACATTAAATAAATAAATATATAAATAAAGTAGTAAAACCTGCAGCGATTGTGTTGCTGAAGAAGTGACAGTGACTTCGACATCCTTCTCTCTTCTGACTGTCGTAATCAGTCTCTCTATATACACTGAACAAAATTATAAATGCATCGTCTAAGTAACACAACACAGAAAACATGAGACATTGTTGTCAGCTTGTTTTTCAGTGTCTGTCTTACTTCACGTGTTTCCGGCTGAACCAACGTAAATGTCTTTGCACCCATCACACTTAAAAAGGTGGGTACAACTTTCTCTTGATCAATAGCGTTAGCTGCTACAAAATACTCAATACAATTAAAAAAAAACTGCTGCCATGTTGTGCGGTTAGTTTGTAGTTTAAAAATCGATAAAATCTCTTATCAGAATCAGTCTTCCCTCCTCTCTTTAGCAAAGATGTGGACTAGTTGCTATCTCCCGATTATCTTCTTGCTTCTCCAGCAATTTCACAGACAAGCCGCTATTTTCCAAGTCCGCACAGCACAGAATACAGAAAACGCAGAATACAGAAATCCTCTTTATTGTATCTTGTAGCCAGTGGTGGAAAGAGTACTAAAAAAATTATACTTAAGTAAAAGTATTGCTACTTGAGAAATAATTTAGTTGAGTACAAGTAAAAGTAGGCTACTGAAAAATAATATAACTTAAGTAAGATTAAAAAAGTAGTTTGCTGAAAAACTACTCAGGTTACTGCATTACAAAGTACTTTAGTGTTATGTTTCTATTTTTGCCCAAAATGAAGTGACGTGAGCATTATGGAGTATATAAAACACTCTCATAATGTCTGTTTCACAAGTGAGACTCATAGAACTAAGGCACACCTGTGCAATAATCATGCTGTCTAATCAGCATCTTGATATGCCACACCTGTGAGGTAGATGGATTATCTCGGCAAAGGAGAAGTGCTCACTAATGCAGATTTAGAGAGATTTGTGAACAATATTTGAGAGAAATAGGCCTTTTGTGTACATAGAGAAAGTCTTAGATCTTTGAGTTCAGCTCATGAAAAATGGGGGCTAAAACAAAAGTGTTGCGTTTATAATTTTGTTCAGTGTATTTTTATTTTCTCTAAAATCATTTAGATGACATAGTGGATTGTGTTTCGTTTGCTGTTCAATCAAATACAAATGCAAAAATTATACTTTCTGTATCTCCGAAGCCTATCTGCTTCCAAGAATCCAGGAAATGGGAAAACGAATTCATTGAATTCTCAGGTTATTTAAAAGAAGATAATAAACATTTTCAATATTTTTTTATATTCATTATTTTTTATTATATGATATTTGTTAATCTACAAGTATTAATCATTCAGGATTACAATAAACTCAGAAATTACTTAGAAGAAATACAAGTGACAAATCAAAAAAATTATTGAAACAGTAAGAGTGTAAAAGTCAGATGCAGTTATATCAGCAGTGATCAGTATATGATTTGTGAGGAAACAGAATCAGGGAGAGTTTGATCAGTGTTCTTTGGTGAAACACGTGTAAATCACCTCCGTCACGTCTGATTCCTGTAAAACAAACGCAAACACAAAAGGCCAAAGGAGAAAAACAAACCTGATAAATGAAAATTAACAAATGACAGAAATTTGCTACTAATTCCTCAGGAAGATTCATAATTCATTAGACCTGAACCTTGTTAGGAAAAATGCATAAATTGAGTATTATGGGATATGAGTCAGTGTTCGTTGCATTGAATGATTGTTTGTGAATTATGGTCTCTGTGTCTTTTATATTATTAGAACTTTATTGTGAAATTTTAGCACACAAGAGCAACTTTAATAACAGTAACAAAAAAATAAAATAAAACCTACATTATATTAGATTATGGAAACCATAAAACATGTTTAACACATAATATACCACACACTGCCAAATATGTGTAATGTGTTTGTGAAGCAGTATGCAATCATATTAGCATTTTAAACAGGAATATTTTATTTTACGGGTTATTTTGTAGCTAATTCAATGCTAATTGAATGAATGTAAATGTCATTGAAACGACACAGAGACTCTTACCGTCATTAGTCCAGTGTGTTTGTAGAGTAATGCAGCAGCTAGAGTCTCGTCTTCATGAACTGTAATGACAGACACATTCAGTCAAAACATGGAGAAGATTGGTGATTCACAATTGTTTTTACAGAAGTGTGAGCTGTAGATTGACTTGACCTGCGTCTCTGTGTTTCCTGCAGATACAACACAACCCAATTACAGCCACAATCACCAGAGATCCAGCAGCAACAGCAGAGATCAGCACTATTATCAGAGATCCTGAGGCTGCACTATGTGAAGAAGTCTTTGATAGAGTCTGTGGGTCTGGTGTTGTAACGGCTAAAGACAGACAGTCATTAATGTGAGTGAATGTGTCAGTCTGATCTACAACAGAAGACGAGAAGGGTCTGGCTGCAGACATGCACTTGCACTCTCAGACACCTGCGCTTCCTCATGTGACATCACATTTTTTTTTTTTTTTTTTTTTTAAATTATTATTTTTAATTGAATCTCTAAGAATTTGACAACAGTAGCCAGGTGGTGAAGACAAGAAAAAAATATGATGAACAAGACACACAAAGTACTTGCTATTTAATTCCATTCGAAAAACGTATTTATTATCCATTTTCACTTGAATACAAACATGTATTTTAGATTTTTGTTGTTGTTGTTTTTTTTAAATATGACAACAATCACATATCTCACACAGAGATCGCACTGTCATAGTGTTTGGGAATATTCATGCATAATTTAAATTCATAATCACATGATATCAGATAAAAAAAAAAAACATTTTAGAAGAGAACGTAACATCACGCCAGTTTGAACCAATGAGCATTAAGCTGTGTCTTCAGCAAGCCGTTTCCCATCATGCTTTTGATCAACGCAGTCAGTGGAGAACAACTGTGTTCGACTGCACGGCCGACTCGCTGTCGTGAGAGATTTTTGACACACGTCGGCGTGTCTTCAGAGCATCAGACTGCCCTCGGACAGTTAACAATACATTACATTTTCTTCCTATTCGATTGTATTTTATTAACGTCTACACCTACCCCAACCCTAAACCCACCCCTTACAATAATGCAAATACAGTAATTATTGTTGTTCAGTGTGATAAAAATTATGCTATATTGATGTGCGCATGCCCAGTAGCCGCAGCTGTATCCCTTCTAGCCTTAACCAGAGTAGGCTTATTTGAGATGAGCAAAATCTGCACAGAACCAATTACCGGTGATCACTGTGGATGCATGCTGGTTAGAAATGTGTCCGAGGGCAGTCTGATGCTCTGAAGTCACACCGAAGTGTTTCAAAAATCTCTCATGACAGTGAGTCGGCCGTGCAGTCGAACACAGTTGCTCTCCACTGACTGCGCTGATCAAAAGCATGATGGGAAACGACTCGCTGAAGACACAGCTTAATGCTCATTGGTTCAAACAGGCGTGATGTTACATTCTCTTCTAAAATGTTCTAAATTTTAACTGATATCATGTGATTATGAGTTTAAATTATGCATGAATATTCTCAAACACTATGACAGTGCGATCTCTGTCTGAGATGTGATTGTTGTCATATTTCAAAAAAACAACAAAAATCTAAAATACAAGTGAAGTATTCAAGTGAAAATGGATAATAAATAAGTTTTTCGAATGGAATTAAATAGCAAGTACTTTGAGTGTCTTGTTCATCATATTTACTTTCATATAAAGGCAACAGAACTGAAATTCTATCATGTTTATTAGCAACACAGCACGTGAGTGTGAATAGTGCAAGTCTGAGAGTGCAAGTGCATGTCTGCAGCTAGATCCTATTGCGAAAGACAGATCAGCTCAGTAAATAAACACTATAGATTCAAGTTTTACAAGACTACATTGTCACTTAAAAACATCACACAGAAACTGTCGGCTAAAATAACCGCTATTTATCCAGTGTTAATGTGTGTGACCACTGGCAGCTTTTTTTTCTTTGCTCATATCACAACATCTGAACTCACCGTACTGAGCTCCAGTAGACCTCAAGTTTCTCAAAATATTTTGCTTTACATTGTACACAAGCTGATTATAACTGATTTGATCATTTTGACATTTTTATGTGTAAAAAACTGTGCACAATATGCATGTGAAATGCATGACTGTATTATGCAGTTGCCAGTTGTTCTATGAAGAATAAGACTACATTCTGTAAGATAAAACAAACCCAACAACTGATGTTTATAATTTTGTCTCATAAATAAACTGATTCACATTTTACCGGTTTGAATTTTATTCTTTGCTATTCAAAACTTCAGATGACATTGATTAATAATGATTAGTAATCATAACAAACTATTAAACTTTTCAGTTCTACTTTTAAAAGAGGAAGCAAAAGAAATGAATACATTATTACTATATATCACAATCTTATATGGCTTTTGTTATGGCCTTTACATCATTGAAGTGTTAAATGTAGAAATACAAAAGCAGAAACAATACTTCTCCACAACAGTGTTTGCATGCACAGACACGGGCCTACTCACACCGAACCCAGCAAGACCATCTTGGTCAACCACTTTCACAAGAAAGACCATGCTGGTCAAACCTGGCTCCATTTTTCTTGGGAACAGCATGACTTTTGCACAGGTTTCCATAAGGGTTATGCTATGGGGCTTGTATAAAATATGAATCATGAACCTGAAACACCTGAAGTCTGAAACACATTAACCTTATTAATATAGCGAGGGAAAAAACTGTGTTTATCAATTAGGCTAATTTGTGAATTTGAGTCAGGACAGCAGCTTAAAAAAAGAAAGGTACATCAGGATCTACTTTAAAACAAGTACAAGTAAGTCACTTGTTATATTTTCTAAATTGCTAAAGTGTAGAATCATCAACAATTGTAAAAATAATACTAAGCCGTAGATGCTTTTCCTCACTGTTCATTTGATATGCATCAATGTATTATTTTAGGAAATTGTATTGTCAGAAGTGCAGTCTCCAGTGTTGATTGATACCCAGAACTAAACAGGGAGAGTCCAAAAGTCCAGTTAGCCATGTTTCGCTCCAAAAACACTTTCAAATCCAGTTCTGAAGTGGCTAATATCACGAAAGGACTCCCAGTTGAAAGGCCTGTTTGATCAAGTTAAAACTCTTCTAAGGCTGCTTTTATTCAAGAAGACTGAAAACATGGCTCAGAACAACAATGGCACAAGTGAGACTGAACAGTATTGCTGTGTGCCACGACCACCAGGACAAACTGAACAATACTGATGGGAATCTAAGCAAATCACTCCTGATAACATGCTGATTCAGACTGAGCTACTAGATGGTGCTGTTGATCCGCAGATGAAACACATGCTGTGTTCGAAATGCCATACTATCATACTACTCTTTCTATTTCTGCAGTATCCAGTATGTATACTGTGCATAGTATGCAAACTTTCTGTATGCATGAAATACCTGGATGACTTGCCAGAATCTGCAAAATATAACTCAAGTACACTGAAATTAGTACAGAAGCTGTGTTTGGAATGGCATACTGCCATACAATTCCTACTATACTGCAGTATGCTATGTGTATACTGTGAATATGTGAATTTTCTGTATGCATGGAATTCCCGGATTACCTGCTACATTTGCTGAAATCTGATGTATGCATCTGAAGACACTGCATGGGATACTGTTTCCCACCACGCAACTTTTATATGTACTTATATACATGTTACAAACTAACTACAAACTATTGCTCTGTACATAGACATAGATTGTACCTCAATCTCTACGGCACGTTTCCGATCAAGTCAAATGACGTCACCTTTATCTCTATAGCGCTTTATACAGTACAGATGGTTTCAAAGATATTAAATAATAATAATATTGCAGTAATATAATATATAAATAACATATAATATATAAATAAAAACAATATTTAAAATATGCGAGCAGAATTCAATTCAGCTCTAAAAAGACACGGAGTGTCTATTTACTCAAAGTACAAATAGCCCAATTTGTTGGCAGAGGCTACAGTAACTCCGCCCACCAACGCCTGGCTGCGATAAACAGCAATGCAAAAAACGCCTATTAGTTAGCAGCATCAGTGGCGTAGCGAGTAAAACGCTAAGTAAATGACACGATCAAGCTAGATTCGAAGCTAGATTTCCTATCACATATCAGATCGGAAAGGCATTTATTTTCAATAAAAATAAAAATAAATATTTGAGAAGTTGAAATAAAATGCCTCATTAATAATACAGTGTTATTGAGTATGGTAGGCAGTAGGTGGAGGGCTTTATAGGGTATATGTTGAACGTCACCTGACTAAACCCAGAAAATCGCTTCCGCTTGTCGGAGAACGTGTTAACAACCGTAATAAATAATAGCGATATCTATGGACTTTTAAGATAATCAGTTAAACTAGCTAGCTGTTATTTATTGTTGACGTTTTATAAAAAAATATTTATATAAATGCTAGTGAAAAGAATAAAAATAAAAAACTTTTAGATATCATTCCGCGTATGTGATGGACATTGGTTATAAGAATCTTTGGCATCTACTTTGAAGGCATCTTGAGTAAAACTGCTTCATATTTAACGAAGCATATGCAAAACGCTTGAACCAGAAGCGGCGAGACCAGGTTAACAGAATACGGAAGTCTGTTGTGCATAACCCCTACTGTCCCAAAAAGGTGGCATCCATTTAATAATATTAATAAATATGATAATTTATACTCAATACGTTATTCCATACTGTTTTATAATGTACTACAGTACTGAAGTATAAATATCTGCCATCTAACTACTACTTACACTTAGCCTATTGCTAAAGAAAATACGGATATTTTAGCGTAAACAAAATGTATCATTATTTGCACTTAGTGTAACTAGAATATATGACAGTAGCCACGCCCACCAGAGCAGAGAGGACCAATCGGATCACAGCTTCAGTAGAACCACAGCAGTGGACAGAGTCTGAGGAATAAAAACACCAAACTGAGAGCAGCTCAGTCAATAAACGTTCATATCAGCGCCGACATCAACTAATATCAGCGCTGCTGTACCTGAACATGTGTGACAGAGTTGAGTGATGTCCAGATGTTGAGTCTGGTTGCTGATGGGATTGTTGAGCACACAGCTGTAGCTGTTTTTATTCTGATATTCCACCTCCAGAGGTAGAGAGAGACTGATGCTGAGATCAGACACACTGATGCTGGACAATAAACTGTTTCCTTTGTACCAGGAGAGAGTCACATGACCCACATTCACCACTGAACACACCAGTGAACATGATGATGATGATGAAGATGATGATGAAGAACATTGTGAAGAGTTTCTGCTGATGACAGGTACAGGCAGACGAGCTGAAAACATGAGAGAATAAAGAGAAATGAGGATGAATGAAGATATTCAAGCAGACGAGGAAGAAACATCGAGGAGAACCAACTGATCAAAGGCATTCAAAAACAAGAGCATTTAAAACAATCTGACATGCAAGATAAAATATAAACCTGACTGTAAATGTAAAAAAAAAATTATGAATTTTATGTAACTAGACATGATGAAATACTTCTTTAGGTCTACTTTAAGGCTGTGATAAAAAAGTTGAAACTGTCATTTAACTTACCGTAGACATTGAGATAAAAAGACGGCCAGATCTCAGAGCTGATCAGTAGTAAATCATGTCCAGCATGTTCAGGTCTGGTGTTTGTGATGGTCAGAGATCCGGTTTGATTGTCCAGCTTCAGTCTGTCTCTGAATCTCCCGTCAGTAACATCATCATAAACAGTGAATCTGTAGGTCTGTTTATTAATTTCAGCTATTAAAGTGTCTTCAATCCAAAACCTCCACTGAATCACATCATCAGCCATTATTTCAGAACGACCAGAGTTTAGAGTGACTGAATCTCCTTCCTTCACTGATATTTCATCTGGATCACCAAAACACACACAGAACAAACAGAAACAGTGTTTGTCACAAATTAATACTGTTAAATAACTTCATAAAGGTTTACTAAATTTAATAGGTTACATTTTCAAATTTCAAAAACCTCAAAGAACAAAAAGATGTACTTTACATGATTTTATATAAATTTTTTTCATTAAAAAAAAAAAAAAAGTTAAAACTGTTTTTAACTCACCAGAGACAGTGATATCGAAATCCAACCTTAAATTGTTGATCTCTACTTCATAATGTCCAGTATGTATAGTTCTGGTGTTTGTGATGGTCAGAGATCCAGTTTGTTTGTCCAGCTTCAGTCTGTCTCTGAATCTCCCATCAAGAACATCATCATATACAGTCATGCTGTCAGCCCGTTTAATAATTTCAGCTATTACAGTGTTTACAGGTCCAAACTTCCACTGAATCAGATCATCATCCATTATTTCAGTAAGACCAGAGTTGAGAGTGACCGAATCTCCCTTCATCACTGATATTTCATATTTGTAATGAAACACACACACAGAGAACAAACAGAAACAGGGTTTGTCACAAATTAATACTGTTAAATAACCTCATAAAAGTTTACTAAATTAAATAGGTTAAATTAAAAAAAAAAAAAAACTTCAAAGAACAAAAAGATGTACTGTATATGATTTAATATCAATTCTGTCATAAAAAAAATAGTTAAAACTGTTTTCAGCTCACCACAGACAGCAATATCGAAATAGCGCCTTATAATGTTCGACAGTTCATAATAACATCCAGCATGTTGAGTTGTAGTGTTAGTGATGGTCAGAGATCCAGTTTGTTTGTCCAGCTTCAGTCCGTCTCTGAATCTCCCGTCAAGAGCATCATCATAAACAGTGAATCTGTCCGCCGGTTTATTGATTTCAGCTATTAAAGTATTATTAAACAACAGCTGAATCAGATCATCATTCCTCATTTTAGAAAGACCAGATTTCAGAGTGACTGAACCCCGCACGATCACTTACTTAACTCTGGCTTCACGTCATCACCAAACACTCCTGAAGAACAGTTTTTAACAGATTAAAGTTCTAAGTAACGTGATGTTGGTGTAATGAACTTCACTAACATACTTTTATTAATTTGAATGTGAAGTGAGTAATATTCAGCAGAAATACAAACACAACATATCTGGAACGAATGGGAAAGTAGTTAAAACATTTCATATAGATCATTAACCAAATAAAAAAAAAGAAAGACTTGCACCTCAGATAAGAGTAATGGCACACTAAAACTACAGCTGTTGGGTATTTAAGATTCATATTTATTTTCAGTTCAGATCTGAATTCAATCTTGATCTCACAGTAAAATCACAGTTTAATTATTTCTGTATTAGAATATCAGTGAATGTTGATCCTCTCCGACTAATTTAACCAGTCATTTATTACATGTTACCAGAACAGAAGCAACTGAAGCCATAAAAACACATTTCAAACTCACCAACCAGACGCCACAAACACAAACAGAACCAAACTGATTTCAGAGACATCTTCTCAAATGAAAAGCTCATGATAGTTGCTCTTAAATGATCTGAAAACACTCAAGATTGGTCTGAAACGACTGAACTCTGATATTTATCTGGTAGAATCCTCCCCAAACCTCAGCTAGTTTCCGCTCACATGTCCGTCTCCTTTATCATCACGAAAATCAACAAGCTTCTGCTGATCTTACCTTTTCAAATGAGTTTTGGCCCTGTGTGAAAACTAATATAAGAGTGAAATATTGTATTAGATATATCTGTATCGTGTTATTTAGCATTGTAAGCTGTCAATCATATTGACCTCTGACTCTTAATTGACTGTTGATGGATTCACTTCATATCAGTGTAAAGACATTTTGTGTGGAGCAGAAGCAAACATGTGAGCTGTTTATCCACTGACAGATCAAACCAGACACACTGATGTTTGTACAGATAAAACAAAGAGAAAAAAAACCTTGCAAGACCCATTTGAACTCAAAATCCAGTGAATTACATTAATAATGTTTGTCTGTGTTGTTAGAACAAAATTCGTGAGTAAACATTAACGAAAACATACAGTTTACCTTGGTCTTTTTTTCTGAAAAAAACTGAGAAGAGTAGATTTGCTGCCAAAGTGCTATCAGAGATGCTCTTTTATAGCGATAGTCTTCAGAAAGCCACATTTCTGGCATTTGTAAAACCACTTTTTTTTTTTCCATCTTAAAGGGAGCGTTCACCCAAAAATGAAAAGTTGCTGTTAATTTACTCACTCTCAGTCAGGCCATCCAAGATGTCTGACTTTTTTTTCTTCAGTAGAGCATTTTTAGCTGAAACCGGTCTTTTGTGTTTAATAAAATGCTATAAAAGCATATCAGGCGCTACAAAATGAATACCCGTGACTGCTGACGATATATATTGGGGCCTAATGAAGCGAAACGATCGGTCTGGACAAGAATCTGAATATTATTACCTGTAATCCCGAGCCTCAGGCAAACGGGAGAGTCTGATTCTTTCCCACGGTTCTTTCGGACAGTTCGATTCTGTTTCAAATAATAACCGATTCGCCAGTTTGTTTACGTAACCACGGGATGACATGACGTATGCTCAAGTTTATCCTTAAAGCACCCAATAAAGACGTGAAACACGTATGAGTAGCGTGAAATGCTAATATTAGTCTGATTCATATTTAGGTTTTTCCTCCATTCTGTCACCTGATGGAATTTGGCTTGCTTAGATTATAATATTCAGCAATATTACTGATTTGACTGCACTGATATTATCAGATGAGAAGTGAACTGAGCTGGATGATGATAACTCTTTGCATTAATATACTATATTCAGTACTTTAATAAAACACTTTTTAGATGTACATATGGTTTTCTCTTGACAATTTATAATATTTATACCAATAAAACAACGTTTAATCAGTATAAAAAGACGCTTGATGATGTAAACATTTACAAATAATATTTAAAATAACGTTTTAATAAGGTAAAACCAAGCGGCAACCTCCCGCTCTCTCTTGTGAAGCCAACACGGAAGTGACTTAAACTGTAATTCATCAACTGGCCGCTAGAGGCGGGCTACAAAAGGGAGTCAATCCCATAGACTCCCCATGTTAAAGGGGTCATCGGATGCAAAATTCACTTTTCAAGTTGTTTGAACATAAATGTGTGTTGGAAGTGTGTGTACACATCCATCCTATAATGATAAAAATCCATCCAGTGTTTTTTTTTAAATCCCTATTTTAAAATCCCCTTTCTCAAACCAGGCTGTTCTGAGATTCCTGTCAGAATGACGTAGTTCTGCACAGGCCCCTCCCACGATGTTTGATTGACAGTAGTGTTTCAGCACAGACTGGACTGGTCTGTGGGTCTTACCTTAGACCCACCCTGAGTGAGCTGTCATCAGTCTGCCATTGTGTTGACTCTGGTGCAAGGGAAGGGCTTCAGTCTGTCTCTGAATCTCCCGTCAAGAACATCCTCATATACAGTGAATCTGTCGGCCGTCACATTGATTTCAGCTACTAAAGTGTTTCCAAACCTCCACTGAATCAGATCATTATCCATCGTTTCACAAAGACCAGAGTTTAGAGTGACAGAATGTCCGATTTTCACTAACTTCATTTCACCAAACACACCTGAAGAACAGAGTTTTTTTTAAAAGATATAATTTTTTTTAAAGATATAAAATACTTTCCTCAAATTATGATTGTTTAATGAAACTTGTCGAGTCATTAAAAACAAATCCTCAAACCAATCCCCTACGGACATCACTTTTGGCCACGCTTTTACTTTAATCTTTAATGTCAAACTAACACTGTTGGGTATTTAAGCTTCATATTTATTTTATTTTATCATTCCATAATAGGCCTGAATTTAGATCTGAATTCAAACTTGATCTCACTGTAAAATCACAGTTCACTTATTTCTATATGAGAATAACAGTGAATGTTAAATCTCTCGCACTAAATTATCCAGTATTTATTACATGGTACCAGAACAGAAGCAACTGAAGCCATAAAAATGAGTTTAAACTCACCAACCAGATGCCACAAACACAAACAGAACCATAATCTGTGAAACATCTTCAACAGTTTCAGTCCACAAATATGAAAAGACAAACTCTTCAGAACTGGTTCAGTAATAAAATGACAGATGAGCTGATGTGAGGCTGCGCTGTAGTAAAGTCATGAGAAACTGTCAGCTAAATAACTGCACAACTTGAAGTGTTGGTCCATGTCCTCCAGCTCTTTTCTTGCTTATTTAGTCACACTTCATTTGTCGCTTTTAGTTCCAGTCTCCCTCAACTTCCTGTTGATCAATGTTGTTGTTTTCAGCAGAAATAAACTGAGCCATAACATGATCAGAGACTAGAGAAGTGTCTTAATGCAGCGTCTGATCTGCTTGATGTCATATGTGTGAGCAGATAACAACAAAGCCCACCTTTGCATCCTACAAGCAGCGAGAGAGGGAATGCCCTGGTGTGGGCTAAATATTGCAGTGAGCAGGCGATGATCCGTCAACAACATCAACTTCCTTCTGAAGATGTATCGATAAAATTGAGTTTAAATTCAATTTGCTTCCGCTGAATTGGAAGAGCAGAATCAAAATGAGTCAGGGCTTTTCATCTTTACAGCATCTCTTATGCCCTTGTGAATGACTCCTGGCATTCAGAGGTCCACCTCCAGTTACTCTTGTCACAAAGCAGCAATGTTTGTAATATTTTTAGCGTGCAAATAAACAGACCGTATATGTGCGCTCTCTGATAGCTTTATGCATGAGCATATTTCAGTATGGTCGCATGTCTGGCAAGTGTTTGTAATGGACACTCGCTGAAGAAGAGTGTTATAGGAGTTTGCAATGGTCAGTGGTGTTTATATACATATGGGCAAAAAACACTCACTCTGACTGTTCACTGCTCATGTTGAGCCGCCTTCAGATCGCCACATTCGATAAATTCAGAGTGTTTTATTTGCTTTTTTAATTGCGTTCTGCTCTGTTGAATAATTCTGAATGGATCCGTATATATTTATATACAGTCAGGTTAAGGCGACTGCACTGTAAAAAATGGAACAAGCTATCTACTTAAAAATATATATATGGTAACAAAATTACACATAATATTTTTGAGTAGTTTTTATTAATGGAATCTACCTGAATAAATCATGTAAAATCTCCTAAATTAATTAATCTATGACACAATTAATTTAATATAATTAGTGAAATGTGCTCATTTATTTAAAGTTGATTCTCAAAAGGCTGTGATTTTGAGTGAGGCCTGAGTTATTTTGTGCATTTAAAAGACTGTATACAGCCAAACAGCTCAAGTAGGAAAATACTTGATAAATACTGGAAAATACTGCACTAGCACTAGCAAAGCTACTGCTCATTGAACAAGGCTTAATGCCTTAGAGGGGTAGTAGCCATAAGCTCTATTCTTCTGCACAATGGAACTTCAACGTAACTTCAAACTCTTTCAAATGTCAAACATAACTGAACATTAAACATTAAAGGGGTCATATGATGCGATTTCAAGTTTTCCTTTCTCTTTGGGGAAGGAGGGACTTTGTAGAAAACGAAGCGTTTGAGAGAGGCGGGGCATAGAGGACCTACAATAATGTACAGTATTTGAAAAATAATGTGTTTTTTGAACATTAAAGCATGTCAACATATTCTGTTACACCAAATACACAAAATAATAATCTTTAAAAAAGCATCATATGACCCCTTTAATAGATGTTTCCCTTCATTAAAAACAAAACAAAACATAAAATTGCATTTAATTTCAAAATTCATATCCAGCCATATGCAAAGCATGCTGAGAACTAACAATCACCTCTAAAGTAAAACAGCAAAATTGAGCTAATTCTCTTAAAATAAATTGGTAGTCTTCTTTCCTTAATTTTTTTTTAGTTTAATCAGTTCTTCAATTCAGGCCTCAAAACTGCTTAAGTTTCCTTTAAAGGGGTCTTCGGATGCACATTTTCCACAAGTTGATATGATTCTTTAGGGTCTTAATGAAAAGTCTATAACATACTTTGGTTAAAATTTCTCAATGGTAGTGTAAAAAACACACTTTTTACCCTGTCAAAATCAGCTCTGTTTTCAGCACACTGTTCTAGTCCATGGTGCTTTAAATGCTAATGAGCTCTGCTGACCCCGCCCCTCTCTTCCGTGGGATGACGAGCAGACTGTAAACTTCAGCCGAGAAACTGGCTAACTAGCACATTATTAGGAAAGGCGATTTGCAGAGATTCATAAAAAACCCTTATACTCACTTCTTCTGTAGATGAAGCTGGATCACAAATGATTCACGCGAACATAGACGCATTTAGGCAGATCGGGGATCAGCGCATTACCTTCAAAACGAAAGTAACGTTAATCCTCTGCGTCTTCAGCGGCTCAGATGTCGGGAGTAAATGACGACTGCTTTATTCATTATTACATCCAGCAACAAAACACCTCAATTGCTTAGGAGTCATTCTTTTCTTCCCCTGCACTGGAGTCGACACAATGGCGGACCGATGACAGCTCACTCAGGGCGGGTCTAAGGTAAGACGGACTTGTCAATCAAACATCGTGGGAGGGGCCAGTGCAGAACTACGTCACTCTGACAGTAATCTCAGAGCAGCCAGATTTGAGAAAGGGGATTTTAAAATAGGGATTTTAAAAAAACCACTGGATGGATTTTTATCATTATAGGATGGATGTGTACACACACTTCCAACACACATTTATGTTTAAACGACAAACTAAAGTGAATTTTGCATCCGATGACCCCTTTAAAAAATGAGGAAAACACATCTCTTGGTTTTATTAGTAAAAAGTCCTCAATATTTTCTATACAACACTGAACCACAATTTCTTTAATGAAATATACACTATTTTTAATTATCACCTTGATTTTTTTAATGAAAGTTACAAGACCCATGATTCATTTTTGACAGTGTGGTATAGTGGTCTGTTGGCATCTCTGTGCGGTCCTGTTTGGTATTTGAGCTTGACTTGTTATAGAAAATGCTCAAAACAAATGTGACATTTATTTTATTTCCTCATAGTGTTTGCTATGCACTGTATAAATTTTGAATCATGAAAATTATAAAGTGTTTTAATCTATCTTGAAAAAATCTTGCAGAAACTATAGTTCTGTGGGAATCATCCTCAAACTTCAGAGAATTGCTTCTAAACTTATTATAAATGTTAGTAGCCTAATGTATTGCACGTTACAAAGACTGTGAACTATGGTACTGGATTGTGGAGTTAGACCGTTAAACAGTTTTTGACCATTTTTGTGTTCAGGATTTTTTGGGCGGGGCTGAAATCATGTAAGTATACTCTTTGGAGGCGGTAGCTTTCCCGTGAGTGGGCGTGGTTTCAGCTCAGACAGAGGACACTTTTTTAGCTGTTAACCCATTGGAAAAAAATGTATAAAATAAAATTCTGCTATTGGTTGTGCCAAGCATTTGAATATGATAAATTAAACTACATTTTATGGTTTTAGGTTTACTTTCATTTTAATAAAATTAAGCACACATTCAGGACTACTGTTATGTCATTATTTCAGAAAAGTCATGTCTTTAGAAAAAAGTGTGGAGAAACCATACTTTAAAAAACAATGCTGCCTTAAATGTTTAAGTACAATCAACATGGCTGTGTAAGTCAACTTAAATTATATTAAACTGATTTAAATAATAATAAAAAAGTGTAATCTTGTATAACTTGAATAACCTAATAAAGTTGAAAAAAATTGAAGTAATTGAAGTAATGAAAAACACATGCTGCCATGACTTATTGATCTTTTTTTTTTTTGAAAAAAATGTATAAAATAAAATTCTGCTATTGGTTGTGCCAAGCATTTGAATATGATAAATTAAACTACATTTTATGGTTTTAGGTTTACTTTCATTTTAATAAAATTAAGCACACATTCAGGACTACTGTTATGTCATTATTTCAGAAAAGTCATGTCTTTAGAAAAAAGTGTGGAGAAACCATACTTTAAAAAACAATGCTGCCTTAAATGTTTAAGTACAATCAACATGGCTGTGTAAGTCAACTTAAATTATATTAAACTGATTTAAATAATAATAAAAAAGTGTAATCTTGTATAACTTGAATAACTAATAAAGTTGAAAAAAATTGAAGTAATTGAAGTAATGAAAAACACATGCTGCCATGACTTATTGATCTTTTTTTTTTAAAACAGAGAATCTGCTACGTTACATGATAACCATTGGTAAGTAAATTTGATAAACATCGAATCACAAAAACATTATTTCACAAAAGGCCACAGGAAAACGGATCGGTCAGCAATGCTTCTGTACACTTTAAAGTATTTGTTACTGTAATCTATATCTATTTCAGATCTATATCTGTTCATTTGTTTCTCTATTTCTTTTTAGTTTCGAACATCCTGCTTCTAGGATTGATTGGACTCGTACTCAAGACGTGTTTCTTCTGTAGGTGACTTACTAAAAAGTCAAATGTTCATTTACCTTGAGGCTAGTTTGTTGTTGAAAGAAATTGCAAATAAATAAATAATAATAAATATCAGAAAAGTTAATTCTGAGAAAACCTGGTTGATCATTTGTTCACCGATATCACTTAATTCGATATTTTAGTATCTAATCCAGTGAAATTCTTATATTTTAATGTGTTGATTTGATTTTTTTTTTTTTAATTATCAATTTGAACAAACTCTTTCAAAAGACTTTGCTGCTTAGGTCTTGGTTTGCAAACTTTAATAATAGATTTAAAACAAAACAAAAAAACAGGAAGAGTTACAGATACAGCACATTAAATGCAATCAGTTTTTTTTTTTGTAAAAGTAAATATAAATGAATCAAATGTCAAAAAATGTAAAGTTAAACGTTTTCTGTTTAGTACTGATTTTACAATCCAGAGAGCTCAGTATTGCTTGCAAAAATCCTGTTTTCTTTATTTTTTTTAAAAATATTTTTGAACAGAAGACTCAATCATGTAAACTGTATGCATAAGAGAAACAAGCACGCAGCCATCTTTAAAATTCTGTCTTTGAACTTCCGTTTTTGCGGTATCTATAGCATTGCTGTTGAAGAGTAATGAGCTGGTCAAGTGGATTTACTTATTGTAGAGTTCAAGAAAGTTATCATGTGCATTGTAAGGTTTGAGGTGGATGTCATAAAAAATTTGGAGAAAAAAAAATTTCTTCTGTGGACATACACTAATTAATCTCTATTTTCTGTTTCTACCTCAGGACGCTCATCCCCAGGGGCTAGTTGTTCAAAAAGTTTAGTCTGGATCAAAATGATCTGGATTTGGAAATCCCATGTTTTGCTAGGATCAGGTAACCCATCTTACTTTTGTGCCGGTTTTTCCAGAGAAAAATTGGATTGGATCACCCTGATCCAGATAGATTTCTAAATCAGTGATTACAAAAAAAAAAATAATTTAAATGAAATATAATATTTTTGTTTGATATTGACAGCTGTTTGGGGATATATTACGTTACAAATGTTGTAATTTTTGGACCAGTTTTAAAGTTTTATTACATTTTGGTTCCTGAAATCCACCCTTCTGATGGGATCAGAATGATCCATTTTTTTTGGATCAAAAGTATCCCAATCTTAGTAAAACGTCTTCAACAACACAAACTGAGGATTTAATCTAGATCAAAACCAAGATTGGATTTTGTGATCTAATCCGAATTTAGAATCCTTTTTTTTTCCTTCTTTCGAACAACCCATTTTCCAGATTCAATCCAATCCAAAGGCCAAAATCCGATCAGATTACTTTTGAACAACTGGCCCCTGGTAACTAGCTATTATGCAAGCTAGATCCGGCCTCTACTGAAGACATCATATGATGCCAACTCTAAATCAATATTTAAAACGGACAAATATGACTTTAATCATAATGACCACAACATGAAATCATTGCCTCAATCACGTTAATCGTTTCTGCATGAATACTGTCATTAACTAATAGCATGATTTGTATTATTCTAGAACTTTGAAACGAAATGTATTGTGAAAAACTCTATACAAATAAACATGAATTGAATTGACTGAATCTACCTCCATCACTAACGCTGACTTCACTGCATCGACACCAAACACATCTGAAGAAGAGTTATTATTTTCTTTCTCCAAACCAATGACACATGATCAGAGACTACATGCAGTCTTGCAGAGGTCTGAAACTCAATAGAATTCAATATGAACAAGCTCTACCAACAGGAGAGTCTATATTAGTTTCAGTTGATTATTACAACTGCTATTCTGAGTATGAGAAACTCAAGAGATTCACAGCTTGAGGACTAAGTTCTGGTGGGACAAGAGAAGACCAACAAACTGACAACTCCATTCAACCAAGTTTCATTCACTACTGTGTCCAAAAATATCAATTCTGTGTTCACAATATAAAAGTAATACCTTGTTTGTGTAGAAATTCTTTGGTGCGAATGCAAATGATGCCCAGCTGAACAGCAAAAGCAATCAGACAGAACTAGTGGAGTCAGAGGAAACTGAGCAGATCACTCCTGATAACATGCTGATTCAGACTGAGCTACTGATGATGCTGTTGATCCACATGAAACACAGACACAAATCACACTACAGAGATGTAAAGACTTTATGGTTGACTGCAGGAGGTGCTCGACATAATAAATGTAACAAAACATGCAGAGACTCTTGAACCTCAGAGTGAATAAAAACTTTATTGCTAAAGGCAATCAAATACAGATGACAAATGAACAGCAGTAGTAAAGAGAGATCTGTGTGTCTCTTTATTCATTTGTTTTAGGTATCTGAGGGAAATATAAACAAAAAGGCTTTCAAATTGGACTTTTAAAAATCTGACACTGAAAGAGAGCATAAGTTCGAATAATCATCAGTATTTATGACAAAAACACTAGAAGAACAGAAAACACTTCAAGAGCCTTTAGCGTTCTGCTTTAGATTTCAATACTTCCTGAAATAGATGAACATACAAATTAATAAATATCACAAATATTTATATATATATACTGAACAAAATTATAAATGCAACACTTTTGTTTTTGCCCCCATTTTTCATGAGCGGAACTCAAAGTTCTAAGACTTTTTCTATGTACACAAAAGGCCTGTTTCTCTCAAATATTGTTCACAAATCTCTCTAAATCTGCGTTAGTGAGCACTTCTCCTTTTGTCGAGATAATCCATCCACCTCACAGGTGTGGCATATCAAGATGCTGATTAGACAGCATGATTATTGCACAGGTGTGCCTTAGGCTGGCCACAGTAAAAGAGCGTGCAATTGGCATGCTGACTGCAGGAATGTCCACCAGAGCTGTTGGCCGTGAATTGAATGTTCATTTCTCTACAATAAGCCGTATCCAAAGGTGTTTCAGAAAATTTGGCAGTACATCCAACTGGCCTCACAACCGCAGACCACGTGTAACCACACCAGCCCAGGACCTCCACATCCAGCATCTTAACCTCCAAGATCATCTGAGACCAGCCACCAGCTGCTGCAACAATCGGTCTGCATAACCAAAGAATTTCTGCACAAACTGTCAGAAACCGTCTCAGGGAAGCTCATCTGCATGCTCGTCGTCCTCATCGGGGTCTCGACCTGACTGCAGTTCGTCATCGTAACCGACTTGAGTGGGCAAATGCTCACATTCGATGGCGTCTGGCACTTTTGAGAGGTGTTCTCTTCATGGATGAATCCCGGTTTTCACTGTACAGGGCAGATGGCAGACAGCGTGTATAGCGTCGTGTGGGTGAGCGGTTTGCTGATGTCAACGTTGTGGATCGAGTAGCTCATGGTGGCAGTGGGGTTATGGTATGGGCAGGCGTATGTTATGGACAACGAACACATGCCATTCATCTACGACCATCACCTCATGTTGCAGCATGATAATGCACGGCCCCATGTTGCAAGGATCTGTACACAATTCCTGGAAGCTGAAAACATCCCAGTTCTTGCATGGCCAGCTTACTCACCGGACATGTCACCCATTGAGCATGTTTGGGATGCTCTGGATCGGCGTATACGACAGCGTGTTCCAGTTCCTGCCAATATCCAGCAACTTCGCACAGCCATTGAAGAGGATTGGATCAACATTCCACAGGCCACAATCAGCAACCTGATCAACTCTATGCGAAGGAGATGTGTTGCACTGCGTGAGGCAAATGGTGGTCACACCAGATACTGACTGGTTTTCGGACCCCCCCGGACCCCTCAATACAGTAAAACTGCACATTTTAGAGTGGCCTTTTATTGTGGCCAGCCTAAGGCACACCTGTGCAATAATCATGCTGTCTAATCAGCATCTTGATATGCCACACCTGTGAGGTGGATGGATTATCTCGGCAAAGGAGAAGTGCTCACTAACGCAGATTTAGAGAGATTTGTGAACAATATTTGAGAGAAATAGGCTTTTTGTGTACATAGAAAAAGTCTTAGATCTTTGAGTTCAGCTCATGAAAAATGGGGGCAAAAACAAAAGTGTTGCGTTTATAATTTTGTTCAGTGTATATATGCAAAATCAATTTGTGAGTAATGACATCAATCATGTACCTGGTGTATGAATCTGTGCTCGATCTTGTTCAGCTCTTCTGGATCTGATGTCATAAACCAGAAGAATGACAGTAGCCACGCCCACCAGAGCAGAGAGGACCAATCGGATCACAGCTTCAGTAGAACCACAACAGTGGACAGAATCTGAGGAATAAAAACACCAAACTGAGATCAGCTCAGTCAATAAACATTATTGCTGACATTAAAAAATCACAGCTGACATACCTGAACATGTGTGACAGAGTCCAGTGTTGAGATGTGTGGTCCGGTTGGTGAATGAATGAGCCACAACACAGCTGTAGGAATCATCCAGATACTCAACCTCCAGAGGTAGAGAGAGACTGATGCTGAGATCAGACACACTGATGCTGGACAATAAACTGTTTCCTTTGTACCAGGAGAGAGTCACATGACTCACATTCACCACTGAACACACCACTGAACATGATGATGATGATGATGATGAAGAACACTGTGAAGAGTTACTGCTAATGACAGGAACAGGCAGACGAGCTGAAAACATGAGAGAATAAAGAGAAATATGAACAAATCTAATCAACAAACTTAGTTTTGGTTCAGTGTGTTGAGTGTTTATTGTCAGGGTCCCGCCCTGACAGCCATGTCTGTTCTGTCTTTGTTTAGCGTTTCCTTGTTTGTCTTGAGTCTGAGCACATGGCTTTGTCTTTATTTATGTTGGCCATGTGCTCCTCTCGTCATGCCCCCTTGTTTCCCTCTGCCACGCCCCCTTGTTTAGTCCTAGTCTAGTCCTCGTTAACTTGATTATGTCCACCTGTTCCTCATGTGCTCTGCTCCTTTATAGTGTGCCTCTTTCCTCATGTCTTGGCTGGTTCGTTGCGTTAGTTCACTGCGTGTAAGATAATTCCGTATCAGTCTACTTGTCATATTAGTATTGTTATATTCTTAATTCCTAGTCAGTCTAGCTTTGCATTTAGTTCTCTTGAAGTTAATTTGAGTTTCTTTGCTTTTTGTTATTTTGCTCTAGTCTAAGTACAGTCTTAGTTTACTCTAGTTTTTTCAAGCCTCTAGTTTGATTTCTTTCTTTATTTTGATTTTGTCCTTGCCCAGTTTTTATTCTAGTCATAGTGCGTAGTCGGTGTGTTATTTTGCTGCTGCCTGTTCTCTCTTGTGGTCTTGTCTTGTGTGTCGTGTTATGTCTTGTGTTGGTTCCAGTTCTGTGTCCTGAATCCCTCCTGGCTGCTGTTCTCAAGACCTGGCTATCTGACTGGACTGGTATCACTACAGCTCAAAGTATCAAGCCCTGGATTCTCAAGCTGCTGCCTGAGATCCAGTGTTCTCATTGACTGGGGCTGCTCTATCTCCTTTGTTCTCCAGCAGAACTTTGTCCAGGCCTGACCAGGGACTAGCGGACTGCCCTTTCCTATTGTTTGGACTCTCACATGTGCCCTGATAATCCTTGTCTTGTCAATAAACCGCACTCCCTTGATCATTCTGCATCTGGGTCTCTCTCTCTCTCTGACAGAACCGTGACAGTTTATAGTCTGTCATCTGAAACTCTAAAATGATCCAACAATAAATATGTTCATTGTTAACAAGAATAGTTGAGGGGCAGGATAAATGATCTCTACTCACCATAGACAGAAACTCTGAATGCTTTTGACGCTGCTTTTGCTCCACATTTCAGTAGTAAATAACGTCCAGCATGTTGAGTTCTGATGTTAGTGATGGTCAGAGATCCAGTTTGATTGTTCAGCTTCAGTCTGTCTCTGAATCTCCCGTCAAGAGCATCATCATACACAGTGATGCTGTCAGCCCGTTTAATAATTTCAACTAATAAAGTTTCATTTCCAAACCCCCACTGAATCAGATCATCATCATGTATTTCAGTAAGATCAAAGTTTAGAGTGACTGAATCTCCATCCATCACTGACTTCATTTCAACACCAAACACACCTGAAGAACAGAGTTTTTTGCAGATTAAAGCTTTAAAACAATTTTAAAATATCTGTATGAGTTTAGACCTGAATTTAAACTTGATCTCACAATAAGATTGTTCATTTCTATATGAGAATATCAGTGAATGTTGATCCTCTCTGACTAATTGAACGAGTAATTTATTACATGTTACCAGAACAGAAGCAACTGAAGCCATAAAAACACATTTCAAACTCACCAACCAGACGCCACAAACACAAACAGAACCAAACTGATTTCATTTAGACATTTTCTTCATCGGTTCACAGAAAAGCCCACGATAGCGATGCTTAAAATGTCTGAAAACACTCATGACTGAACTGTGCTATTTATGAATCTGGTTGAATCCTCCCCAAACCTCAGTTTCTGTTGTCATGTCCGTCTCCGATCCACAAGCTTCTGCTGATCTACATTGTCAAATGAATTCTGTCCCTGTGTGAAAACTAGCAGAAGAAGGAAATATTGGATCAGATATCCGTCTACTGGTGTTTTATTTAGTGCTGTGAGCTGCTTGCCCTTTGACCTCTAGCTCTTATGCCGATCCTTTGTGTTGTGTGCACAAAACAGCAACTAAATGGTGCCTCAGACAGTTGTGTAGTTTGGGTCGAACAGCGATCTGATGTGTGTTCCCGGCGTTGTTTGACTACTGATGGATTCACTGTATTTCAGTGTAAAGATTTTTTTGTGTGAAACAGAAGATTGTGAGATTCATAATAGAAGGAGGAAAAAATGAGGAAATGCTTCACACACAAACTACACACACACACACACACACACACACAGAAACATGTTGGCTGTTTTTCCACCGACAGATCAAACCAGATGCACTGATGATTATTAAGATAAAGCAAAAGGAAGGACTATCACAGGGTTCATTCGGACTAAAAACAAAACATGGAAACACATTTATGACGTTTGCTTGTGTTGAAACAACTAATTTCACAAGTTAATGTCATTAAAAGAGAAACCTGTAAATGTAAATGTAATGAGAAATGTTACAGAAATGCTTCTCATAATGAGATATCTTAGTAAATACATTAATTTTACTTAATAAATAAATTTATTTTGTGTAAAACTACTTAATAAACAAATATTAGTATAAAGACTGGCAGCACAAATGACACTGTAGTTGTGACTCACCATAGACAGTAACTCTGAATCTGTATGTGGTTGGTTTCGTGCCTTTGATGTTTACTGTATAAAGTCCAGAGTCTGTGGTTCTGGTGTCTGTGATGGTCAGAGATCCAGTCTGATGATCCAGCTGCAGTCTGTCTCTGAATCCCACAGCATCACCATGAGATGTAGAGAAGATTCCATCCTCTTTATTGATTAGAGCTATACGAGTCTCTGGATGTCCAAAAGTCCATGCTATCACATCCCGTGTCTGTATTTCAGTAACACCAGATTCTAGAGAGACTGAACCTCCCTCCGTCACTGACACTGACTTCACTGCATCTGAATCACCAAACACACCTGAAGAACACAAAGAAAAAAGATTTTTACATTACTTAATAAAGACAGTTTAAAATGTAAAACATCTGAACACATCATACACAGAAAACATTTTTACTGCAGATGAGAATCAGGTCACACTGAAACTAAAGCTGCTGCTGTTTGAGCTTCAGTGATTTATATAAAGAACATTTAGAAGAAAAAACAAACAAACACTGAATCTGAAGCAACTGAAGCCATAAAAACTCACCAACCAGACGCCACAAACACAAACAGAAGCAAAATCTGTCAAACATCTTCAACGGTTTCATGTTGATGTGAGGCTGCTCTGTAGTAAAGTCATGAGATACTCTACTGTCAGTCAGCTATGATAACTGCACATCTTGATGTGTGTGAACATCCAGCTTTTTTTCGGTCATTTCACAACATGTTAACTTTGCCGCTTTAAGCTCCAGTAGACCACAGCTTCCTCTTCTGTTCAGTGGCATCATTTTCAACAGAATAAACTGAGCCATAACACGATCAGAGACTAGAGAAGTTAAGAGTGTCTTAAAGCAGCGTTTGATCTGCTCATGAGATCCTGAGAGTGTTTGGCTCTGCTCTCTCCTGTCACTGTCTTCAGCTCGTTTCTTCTTCATTTCTTATCAAATGTCTCAGTTGTTTCTCCTCTCAGACTGATTTCAGAGTTTCTCTGATGGCTTTATGGAGCAGGAACAGATCACCTGCTAGAACTGTGCGTATAAAACTGTTCTTCAATATACAAATATGATTTCATAAGTTCATAATGAGATCTCTGGTGATTGATTGTAGACTTTGCTTAGAAAATCTTAGTAAAATAACTTTAAAAACCCTGTCTCTAATAAGACAAAACATCTGAGCGCCTCCTGGTGGATGAACAGTCCAAAGAAACGGATTCATTGATGATAATATTCATTCATTCAGACCTGTGGTTCTCAATCCTGGTCCTGGGACCCCCTGCAGGAACAGATCACCTGCTAGAACTGTGTGTAGAAAAGCCTTCTCTGATATTATCATATCATTAACGTTCATATAAACACACCTAATGAATACAAACATACCAAGATATTGAAAATCTGTGCCAGGAACAGTAAACACAGCTGTAATATTATAAAATGTTTATTATATACACATATTTTCTTCAAATTGTGAATGAAATTACAGACAGTGAGTAAAGAGCGCTTCCTGATCACTGAAACTGTTTGTTCAGTGCAAATTGAACATTAAACTCTCCATTTTAAGCAATGAATGAGTAAACCAATGAACTGTGTCTCCGCTTTGCTGTTTATAAGGATTTGTGGAGAACATAAATGCCTGTGATTGGCTGCAATACTCAACGCTGCAAAATCATGTTGAGCTCACATGTCACGAATAAAGCATCCAGATAGCTTTCATTTACTTGCTTTTCTCTTTTTTTTTAAACAACTACAAATTATATGTTACATGTAGTAATATAAATCTGTTAATCCTGCACTAAAAATATATGTGCACAATAAAATATGTATATTAGGCTACCCGACCAGGCAACCAAGCTAAAGCAGCCGCCGAACTCTGCCATACTGACACCCCTGCAGTTATATCATCTCTCAAAACATTGTATGCTGAAGGACATCTATTGTATCTATTGTAAAGTTACAGTAGTAAATGGAATTCACAACATGTTAACTTTGCCGCTTTAAGCTCCAGTAGACCACAGCTTCCTCTTCTGTTCAGTGGCATCATTTTCAACAGAATAAACTGAGCCATAACACGATCAGAGACTAGAGAAGTTAAGAGTGTCTTAAAGCAGCGTTTGATCTGCTCATGAGATCCTGAGAGTGTTTGGCTCTGCTCTCTCCTGTCACTGTCTTCAGCTCGTTTCTTCTTCATTTCTTATCAAATGTCTCAGTTGTTTCTCCTCTCAGACTGATTTCAGAGTTTCTCTGATGGCTTTATGGAGCAGGAACAGATCACCTGCTAGAACTGTGTGTAGAAAAGTGTTCTTCGATTTACAAACATGATTTCGTAAGTTCATGGTGTGATCTGGTGTCTCCAATAAGACAAAACATCTGAGCACCTCCTGGTGGATGACCAGTCAAAAGAAACGTATT